ATTTTAAAACCACCATGTGTATTCTCAAAAAGTTCAATTTCTTTCATTCTAACAATCTCTCCTAAGCATTTTGAATTGCTTTTTTAAAGAAGTGTTGAATCCAGTTCAGTGTTCTCAAGCAACCCTTCCCAGTGATTTCAATGCTAAGCTTAACAATTAAAGAGGCTGTGACCCTAAATTCCTATTATGATTAAAGCAGTAGTGCATAAATAAAATTATTAGATGATCTACTGCTGAGGATAAATCAAAAACCCTGGGCCACAGGAGCATGTTGGTTTGTGTGCCTGTATTCTGTCAGAAAAGGAGACTCACTGAGAAATTGGGACATTGATTGGCTAGCTGTAGAAAATATTTGTCTTACGAAAATGTAGCTCGTTAAGGCTCTGAAACCTGCGTGGCAATTTGGCTGCTGGGTACAAAGGTAGCAGATACCACAAGATTTTTAGATAATATTTTATTGACCTAGGAAGATAGTGAAATCACGTCATAAACATATTCTGCTAAGGAATCCATGACTTCCATGCTAACTTCCTCTGAAACGCTGCCACTTACAGGTACATGGCAAATAATCCAATATGGTTCTTGATATGTATGATGGTAGACAGATAAGGAGCTCCAGCACATTGAGAACAAGGAAGCTTTTTGCACATGGATGAGAAATGCCACATAAGTTTGTTCTATTTATGCTTAAGGTAATCAGACAGAAAGTATTTAAAAATAAAAATATTTTTACTCAATATGAAACTAAATGGTATTGGGAAGCAGGGGTCATTTCCCGCGGGAGCGCACAGGAGCAGAGCTCCGACAGTAAGGAGCCCAGGGGGTGGGCACATGCAACAAGCCCCCTGCTCCCAGCAGCCCTCAGTTGGGCCACGATGAGCAAGAAGCAGCCAGGTAAGTTGCAGAGCCACCCCCCGGCCCACCTTCAGGTACATGCTCTCCCTCCTCTGTGAGGACAGATCTGCGCGTCCCCCCCATAGCTAGCAATCCAAAATAGTCCAGTGGCACCTTTAAGACCAAGTTTTATTCAGGTACAAGCTCTCCACCCTCTGTGAGGGCAAAGTTATGCTAATAAGTTGTGCTAATGAGCTCCTGCACCTCTTTTTCTACGAAATGGCCCCTGTTGGGAAGTATACAGTTCAGACCAAGGCAAGCCTTAGGAATACCTGGAAAGGAATCGGAGCATGAATTCCATAAAATAGAGACATATAAAGTGGTATTTTTGGTGACATGTCTGTTAACTGCTGGTGTAATGTCCTTTGGAGATCTTGTATGGATTGAGCCCGACCACGTTCAATAGCAATTTAAAAACTTTTATGGCTAGGATAGCTTTTAAGCACCCATTGTATGTAGATTAGGATTGGTAGCATGCTTCTATATGGCTAATTAATAATTAGCTACATTGCAGCGATAACATGTACAAGTACCAATCCCATCATGTGTCCAGAATGCATACCTGTTTCCCACTCCATTAAGGCCACTGCTGTTGGCACTTGATGTATCCAGGCAATCTAGGTATAGATGACTTCCAGTTACTGATGCCCAATGAAGTGGACATGCTGCTTTAAAGTGTGTTATCCATCATACCTAGGAGCAACCCCTGTCCCTTGTGACTCATAGTATCTAGACAGGATGGGGTGGTTAAGTGGGTATGGGAGGAAACACATGCTTCTCTGAGGGAAGGTGTAGCCCCCAACTGCTCTGAAAAGAAGCTGTTGTGAGACCTCTCCTGAAGAAGGTATCCCTGAATCCAAATAACCTAAATATCACCCAGCAAACAAGGTACTCAAGCAGGTGATGGATACACAACTTCAGGAAGTCTTTGAAGAGATGAATTATCTAGACTCATTTTAATCTGGATTCAGGACTGATTAGGTATGGAAACCGCCTTGGTTGCCTTGACTGACAGTCTTTGCCAGTCAGGCTGGTTCTCTCTTTTTACCCAGGCTTATTAACTGAAAAGCTCCACATTTTCAGTGTAGTTTTTATGGCTTGCTCTCAGCCTGAGGGCTGTTTTAGGGATACTATTTCATGCTACTGAATATTCTTTTACACTGCATTTATGTCACTCTTTACTAGCTTTAATGGTAATTAGGTTTTTTAAATGATTTTATTGTTGTATTGGTTTCAACCTGCAAGCAGTCTCAAGAAGAAACACATACATTTTCTAAATAAATACATCCTTGGGATTGGCTCTTCCCTGACCATGTGGAAATTTGTATCTGAGGCATATACTGCAGCAGTAACATATGAAACTGGTTTCAACATAGTCATTTGAAAGGAAGCAAGACTGTTTAAATATTTTCAGTCTTATTTTTATATCTTTGGATACTATAGTTAACTCCAGAGTTTTCAAAACCCTAAATAAAGAACAAAACAGCCACCTGACTTACAGTCTAGCATCTAAGCAGCGCAACAGACAGCAGCTGCATCTTAAAGATATTCTTCACAACCATCAGGGCAAATAATTTACTTATTTTTAATTAATGAAGGCTGAAACTTCCTATCCACTGAACCTGGAGTATGTACGTTCCACTTAGCTTGTCATAAGCACAGGACGTCAAGTCCACAGAAGCACTACATATTTTATTGATTAAGCATTCCGAAATAACACGTGAGGAAATGTATTATTCTACATATCACAACTAGGAACAGATTTTTGCCATCAGGGGAAAAAAGCAAAAACCCTGAGGGTGTATAAGGCACATTTTTAGAGAGGTTATGAAACAAAATATGACATTTAACGACTAGACAGGGCACTTGTCAGAAAGGAGGAAATTCATTCCCTTGTTCATTATTAATTTAAAGCAGCCCAAACATCTAATTCTGGAGGCAATCTGCAAAACCCTTCCCCTGGTGTACTCAATGGCTGTTAATTCAAGGCTTTAAGGACCAAAGCCAAATTTACGGGAAGCCAAATAAATGGAAGTACTTTAGCTTTTAGCATGTTTATGTTGAAAGGGTCAGATATGGTCTCATTACATCCATCCTTGTCTGTTTCTCTTCCGTGATCTACTTTCACTAAATTACAAAGGCATTAGCAGCAACACTGAGAAGTCAGAGCAACTTAAGGGCACGCTGTACTTTGCTGAAAGCAAATTTGTCAAAAGCAATTTCAGTCTTCTCCTTTTCCTCAAAGCACGCACTGCTGTAAGCCAAAAGCGGAGGTGGTGTACAAGAGGTGCATGTGTACAGTTCAGCAGTTCACTCATCATATTTGTAAACCCAATCTTATGCATGTTTACTCAAAAGTAACTCTCGCCAAGGTCAATGGCTCTTACTCCAAAGTATGTGTGCACAGGAGTGCAGACCTCATGTATTAAAAATTGTCTTTGATTAGCAACCGCCAGCCACAATTGAATGTCAGGCTCCACTGGTAAGCACATTATGGTGATGGCAATTTTAAAAGAGATCAACACCCTTTGTTAGGTGTTTCATTAGTACATGGCAGTACCACCGCCAGTGACAGCATTTGTAAATGGGTCAAGTCGCCTCTCATCTTGTGAACAGTTGGGATTGCTTAGAAATAAGGCAGAACTACTGCTACCCTTTGCTTGGCATGGCATTTTGGACCAATATTAACAACATCTTATATTGGTGCCCATGTATTACTGTTGCTTCTGCCAACTGAGGCTAACTCTTTTTGCATCTCATAAATTTGGTTCTAATGTCTGGGTTCCAAGCTGGTGTTCTAATGTCTGTTTCTCCCATGCACTATTTCAAACCCTTACCCCACCTCCTCTTCACCTCTCTGTGAACTGCTGATTAGCGCACTGGAAGAGATTTACTCCTATCAACATGATCTGGAAACTGTTCTGAATCATTTAGGACTTATATGCTGTTCTTCCAAGCAAATTGCTGTGCTATCACTTGTACATTAAAACTATCTAAACTAAAAAAAATCCCTAAAAGCAGATGTTCCATCTTCACAAATCTTCACATCAAAATCCCATCTTGGTGTGATGAGGAGGATGTTAAGGACGCCTTCTTGATGCTAATGTGTTCTCTGCCCCTGTGGGTTGATCTGGTGGCATTTCTATTAAGCACCATGTTAAGACTTTTAGTAGTCAAAGAAAGACTTTGGCTAAGGTTGCTTCCAGACAGAGCTTTTGCTCTGGTTTGGTGACCAAACTGGACAGGGATTTTTTTTAGCATCCACACATCATCATTGGCCAATCAAGCCACCTGGATCCATGCCATGAATACACTCCACATAGGCCTCCCCTTCAAAATCAACCCAGAGACTCCAGTTGGTGCAGAATGCTGCAGCTCAGATATTATTGCATTTTAGACACATTCTGCAGTCACTAAATTGGCTGTCCATTTATTACTGCACTCAATTCAAGGTATCAGCTGTCACATGCAAAGCCCTTCATGGCCTTGGACCCTCATATCTGCAAGACCACCTCTCTGCCTATGTCTTTCCATAACAACTTCACTCATCAAAGCAGGGCCTTCTTCAGGTGACACCCTGCAGATGGGCAAGATCAGCAACTGCCCACACATGCGCCTTCTCAGTAGTGCCCCCCACCCTGTGGAATGGTGAGCCTGAGAAGGTCAGGAACGCTCCCATGCTCTTAGCATTTTGCAAACTATGTAAAACAGAATTGTTCAGGAGGGCATTTTTTAAACGAAATAGGGCTACGTTGTTTTAAAAAAAAAACATTATGATTCTACTTATACAATACTATGCTTTGCATTGTTCAACATGTCATGTTTAACACTTTGTTCAGACGACAGCTCCATTTTCAAATGTTTGCAATCCTAATCCTATTACATTGCTTATCAAATCGCATTGATTTACCTTGTGTTATTGGTGAACAATAAATAATGTAAATAAACTGTACCCACTTTCCAGGTTTTCCTCATACTTTGCTGTTTCCAAATCTACTTTGTTATGACCTTTCCTGAAAGATCATGGTCAAAGCAGGTTTACAATCATGTAGACAGCAAGAAACATACTTTTAAAACATTGTATGATTTCAAAGTGAAATGCTTACTTGTCAATCGCTTCTTCGCTGGATAAATACATCACTAAGAGAGTGACATGCAAAGAGCCATGTCGAACCATTGCTTTGGAGAGCCTGCCATCCTTTTTTATTATTGTATCTTGAAGATCCTTAATATCACCCATGATCTGAGAAAGAACAGGAGAGGTGATTTTTAAAAACATTACTGCACAACAAAAGAAAGAAAATACAAGAGCTTGTTTCATTCAATGTAAGCCCTATTGAAGTGAATGGAAGTTCTGGCACAACATCCATTTTATTTCAACCACGACTTCCCGCTGGACTGAGCTTCCTTTCAGACTTGTTCAAGTGCACAAGCATGTTATCGTCTCTCTGATGAAGAGTTTTTAGACTGCTTCAGTAAACATGAAATCACTGGGAATTAATGAGTAATTAGTGGATAAAGGGACATCTTGCAGTCATATCTCAGTAATGGCTGATTCCCAGCAGAATCATGTCAAATGCATGCCACTCTTGCCTGGTAATATGCTTTCACAAACATTAGTCTACAAATGAAGCTAATGCAAAGGGCATGGAAATAGGTAATCTTGGCCATCAGTTAATTAATTTTCCCTTACAAATAAAAATTTTATAGTCGCAAAAACTAAAGGACAAGACAATGTTCATTGGAGAAAAGGGTCGTTGTTATCCCTCTCTTGGAAAAAAAATGAATTATACAAAGAAATATGTTTTGTGTCAGTCTAAGTCGCATAAATTGTTTGAAGACACAGGTTGGTAAAATTTTTTGAAGATGTTTACATTTTAAGAACTTAACAGACAGCACAGTCTGTTTTACAGGCATTTTCAAAACAAAAACATTACAGAAGCTGTCTCCTATAAACCAAGGTAAATGCATGTAATAATATTCATCAGAACCAAAGAAATTGCATATTGTACTCCACAACTCAAGAGCCACCACTGGTAGCTTAGAAGTGACAAAGAACGGCGGTCTATCTTTGTTGAATACAAATATGAATGTAACTCTGTTTTATGCCACAGAAACATAAAAAAATGTGAAGAGTCTGAAAGCTCTTGGTGTGTTCACGCCTGAACCATGAAATTTTCAGACAGGCTAACAAACATTGTTGTATGAGAAATACAGAGTAGCTCCACCAAGGCTCTGATCAGAAAAAGAAAATGAAAATAGAACAGTCCCAATGAGAGCAAAACATGTATTTGTTATGATGTGTTATAAAGGAAAAATCCTCAAGAAACACAGAAGGGAGGAGGGAAGGCAGAAAAAAGAGGAGCACTTTGGGTTATATAACATACTGGTCTGACCTGGATACAAGATCCAAGTGGAGCTACGTCTTTTCAGAGCAGAGATAGAGAAAGAGCAAGTGCTATACTCTTCCCAGAGCAAATGAGGATGCATTTTCAGACAATGCCCTTTGAGGTCCTCATAAAACTTCAGTATTTTAAATACAGATATAGTCAATTGATCTTTTATATGTGTGCTAGTTAAAGCATAATTATCCACAATCAGTTACTTAACAGAGTGTTACTAGTTTTCACACTTGGGGGCCATCACGTAGGGTTGCCAACTCTGGGTTGGGAAATATCTGGGGATTTAGGGGGGGATTTGGGAAGGGGAGGGATCTCATTAATACCATAGAGTTCACCCTCCAAAGTAGCCACTTTCTCCAGGGGAACTGATTTCTATCGCCTGGAGATCAGTTGTAATTCTGGTTCTTCAGGTCCCACCTGGAGGCTGGAATCTTAGGCATCAGTTCTATCAGTCCCATTTACCAGCGCTTTCAGTATTTCCCCCATTTGCTGTCATATCAAACTGGCAGGCCTCCAACTGGCAGTAACAAAAATAAGCCACTGACCGAAAAGAAGGAGGCGTATACTTATTTGGGAGACTCCTCAGAGATACAGAAGGATATGACCTTATAAATTAACTAAAGGAAATGGGGAAACAAAACCATTTCAATGCCCTCTGGAGGACTGAATACTCTTCTTAAGGAATGGAACTCTGAAAGCAGCTGAGGGTCTAACCAGACAACATGCTGGGAGTTCTGTGTCAAGAGAGCCTAGTGCTTTTAAAAAGTCATTTACTGGCATATGCAGGCCTGATATGGAGCAGGACCAGGAGTGGGCGGGGGGCGGGTAAAGCTTTCCTTCCATAAGCTAAAATGTTCCCAGAATGCACTATTTGCCCTCTTTTTACAACATTTACCAGGGGTGTAAATATCAGCACCCAAAGCCCAATTTAAATGAAAATGCTGAGGAGATAAGGCATTTAAAAACCTGCTCATACTATGGTCCCTTGCCAAATCAGGCCCCTCCATGCCTAGCAGGTAACTTTTTAACAATGCTCAGAGCTCCCAACATAGAAGTCCCCATATTCCATCTGGTTAGACTCTGATCAGCCTGCTCAAGCCCCAGAGAGCTTTAGAGAGCCTCGGACAGGGAAATTTTGATGGGCAGTGTGGAATTTCCAATTTGTTTATCTCCCTCCCCTCCACCATCCGCTTGCTGGCCTCCAGCTTGTTCTTTGAAATGCCGGATATTATTCCCCACAGTGGAATAAGAAGATTTCACTGAAACGTTAACAACCAATGTCTGCTGGATAGACTATGTCTGTGGGAATATTTATTGTGTTCACTGGTATGGAGTATGATTTATCTCAAAGGGTGCCATGGCTATAATGTTAAGGCCTGACCTTGTTTTTCTCCCAGTTGTAGTTTTCTAACTGGCTCACCAGGTTTTCTCCATTCTCAAAGTACAAATTAATGTACACACATAAATCACAGACAACAAGCCACAGGGCCAGCTCTGAGGCAGGGAAAACAATCACTTATTGAAGGTCCATGGGGTCACGAAGAGTCGGACTCGACTGTGCAACTGAACAACAACAAATTGAAGCGCCAGACTGCCCTGTATTCCCTCTAACTCAGTGGTTCTCAACCTTTCTAATGCCACGACCCTTTCCTCATGTTGTGGTGACCCCCAACCATAAAGTTATTTTCATTGCTACTTCATAACTGTAATTTTACTACTGTTATGAATCGTAATGTAAATATCTGATATGCAGGATGTATTTTCATTGTTACAAATTTTCTGATGGTCTTAGGCGACCCCTGTGAAAGGGCCGTTCGACCCCCAAAGGGGTCGCGACCCACAGGTTGAGAACCACTGCTCTAACTGATCAGTCTTCAAAAGTGACCAGGGGGCATCACAAGAAAGGCTAGCTTGAAGCTTAGGGCTGAAGTTTAGTTTATTCATAAATGATCTGAAACTAGGGCTGAGTAATACAGAGACCAAGTTTGTGGATGACACAAATTTATTCAGGATGGTGAAAACAAAGGCTGACTGTGAAGAGCTCCAGGAGGACATCTACAAACTGGATGAGTAGGCAACAGTGTAGCAAATGAAGTTCAATGTCGGTAAGTGTAAGGTGATGCACACTGGGACAAAAAATCCCAACTTCAAGTATAAGCTAATGGGGTCTGAACTTGCTGAGACTGAGAGGGGAAAAGATCTTGGGATCACAGTGGATAGTTCAGTGAAGGTGTCAACCCAATGTGCTGCAGCAGTGAAAAGGCAAACTCTATGTTAGGGATTATTAGGAAAGGGATTGAGAATAAAATGGTTGATATTGTAATTCCCCTGTATAGATTCAGGGTGCAGCCTCATTTGGAATACTATGTATAGTTCTTGTCACTGTATCTCAAAAGGACATTGCAGAGCTGGAAAAAGTACAGAGGAGGACAACCAAGATGATTTGAGGGTTGGAGCACCTCCCCTATGAGGAAAGGCTGAAGAGTCTGGGACTTGTCAGTTTAGAAAAGAGATGACTAAAGGGGGACAAGATAGAAGTTTATAAAAAATTTCTCCCTCTCCTAAAATACTAGAACTCAAGGGCATCCAATAAAACTGATGGACAGTAGGTTCAGGACAGACAAAAGGAAATACTACTTTACACAGAGAGTGATTAAAATGTGGAATTCGCTGCAAGAGGATGTAGTGAGGGCCAGAGGAATAAACAGCTTTAAAAGGGGGATTAGATAGATTGAATCCCAGAGCCAGGAGGCAACATGAGGGAAGGCCCTGTTGTTAGCCATCCAGAGGAACTGGTTGGCCATTGTGTGAGACAGGTTGTTGGCCTAGATGGACCACTGGTCTGATCCAGCAGAGCTCTTCTTATGTTTGTGGATGAACACACAAAGTCCTTTTGCCTCTCTCATACCTTCAAGCTGCCCTCTATATACCAGGTTGTGATTTTTGAACCTTTTAGCTAATAATATATAGGGGGAAATGGAGGGGAAAAACCTTTCCCTAGTATTTCAACCTAGTACTCCAAGATCTGAGAAATTATGGTGCTAAATAAAATATCCTAGCAACTGAAAGCTACGGACAAGCCTATACAGAGAAAAGGTTCACACTTTCCTTTTGTATAATGAACCAAAAACAATATATGTGTATAAAAAACGTAAATTCAGCTCAATCTGTGTACTTTAAACACCAAAGCAATGCAGACTTTCTTGGAATATAATTTATTGATTAAAACTGATTAAATTAAATAAAGACAGTTGCTTTAATTGCTTTCTTTTCTTACTTCTTTTGGCCCATTTGCTTGGCCCCTTCTGTTTGTAATGTTTCAAGCCTTTTTTAAAATGTTACTTGTGAGAAACCTGTATTTAAATAATTTTTTAAAAAATTGGGATTTTTTTATCCACAGAACAGCCCAGGAGAAAAGTAGGCATCTTCAAAGGCCTCAGGGCATAAGCCACACTGGCATTAAGAAAAAAGAGCACAGATAATCCCCCCCCCAAAACAAACAACAACCCCACAGAAGTATAAACTTTGCAACCAGAGCTATACGTCTTGGAAATTTAAATGTTCCTACAGCTGCTGCTTTCATAGAATCTTTCATTATTAGTGCTGTCTTTAAAAATACAAACGAATATTAGATGATTTCAGTTTCTTATGGAAGCCAGGTCGAGATGGCATTAAAATAACTTGGTTCACATAATTTTTATTTACCTTAGATATAAATGCATGCATTCATTCTCTATTAAAAATATTCAGACCTATACAAAAAACTGGAAAACCTCTCTACACTAACATTTCTGCACCGATCAAACAACAAAACTGGTCTTTTACAAGTCAGTTGAACCTGACTTTTAAACTGTAGTTGCCTGCAAACTACAGAAGGTACCTGGCAAGCTTTCTACGAAGGGTATTCCAGAGCATAAAAGCTATCAGTAAGAAAGCCTCCAGCCCACCCTCTGATCAGTCTTAGTTCCCTAAATGAGGAAACACAAAAGTATGTTTTGGCTGGGAGAAGAGAATATGTGAATACATGCGTCTGTTTTGTATTAGTGAGATCACTGGTCCATCCAACCCAATATTGTCTGTTTTGACTGGCAGCAACCAGAAAGTCTCAGGCAGAAAAGGTCTTCCCCAAAACCTGCTACTAGAGATTCTTTGACTGGAAATGCTAAGGACTGGCACTGGGGACCTCGTGTATGTAGGGCAGATGCTCCACCATGGAGCCACAGCATGTCCTCTTAATTATAGATGACAGACGCATAAGAGACAAAGTGTATTGGCTGTAGGCAGGGAGAAGATTGTTGGCCTTTTTAGCTATAACACACAGCTGAGATTCTTAAAATTGGGGGGTTATAAGTTACAATGCCTGATGCTGTGAGATGACAATATGCACTTGCACATTATTGTAACTATTATTTATTTGCTCAGTTTTCTTTTGTGGCTTTACTTAATAAATCTAATCATTTTATAAAAATAAGTTTCATAATGAGGTCTGCCTTGTAAAGGCTATTAAATTGTTTAGCTTCATTTTTCTAGCCACTAGGAAAAGCTTCCTTTTTAAATGTACTCAGCCATTTTGGCTCTGCACAGAAACAAAACAAGAAAAATTGCTACATGGAAAATTAAACTATAGCATCACTGCAAATGCAATCAACTATAGTTAATGCATTATTATGATGATGAATGTTGTTTAAAGGAGACATTTCCTGAAGTACACTAAGTAAATAAAAATCTTATTCGGTTTATTTGTAAGACATTACAATCAACTTAGAAGAAATAATTTAATACACTTCAGAAATAAAATTCTATTTCAAATCTGTGCAAGAAACTTATAAAAAATTGAGAACTATTGATATTTGGTTTGGAACATGGAGATATGGTGGCCCTTGACAGTCTTGCAGATATGCACAAGGCAAGGTCAATGTATGCACTGAAGCTTTTAATTCTTATTCTTAAAACAGGAACTCTCCCATAATACCCAGGGAGCTACTTCTAATTCTTGGCAGGCTAGCAGAAACAGTTTCCAATGTGACACAGAAGACTTGTTTTTTAAATTGAGGATTCAAGACCTTTTCTAAACCCCTCTTTTCATCTGGAGAGAGCTTTGTGTGCCCCCAAGGATACATATATGAATGGCTCCTTCTTGAATACTCAGCACTCTGTGCACAGATAAGTTAAATAATTAAATAATGTTAACTAGTTAAATAATGTTAATACATTTATTAAAAACAATGTACAGATGGTGTTGATACATCAGATTCCAGACTGTGTCTCCACCTCATAGGAGAGGTAGGGTGGGAGCATAGTTGAAAAGGGGGGATGAGGAGGAGGGAGTGCCGGCCAAGACTGTACCCGTCACTTGTCCTCAACCAAAGGCCTGGCGGAACACCTCTGCCTTGCAAGCCCTGCAGAACCTCTCAGGCCTTCCCATTTTATAGAAGAGAAAGGACTTAACATGAATGAGCAGGAGCAGAGAGACTATGCTGGGTAGATTATTGTATGCCCCGAATCCTTCTCCTCCTGTTAAAGTAATCTTGGATATTTTTTGCAATTAAAATAGGAAAAACATTTCTAAACATTATTCTTAAGCCAACAGAGTTCCTGTGAAAACAGCACAAATTAAACTGAGTTTATGGCTAAACTTTGGTTTTATTGCTCTCGAGGCATTTTCCCCAGGTTAAAAAAAAAAAAGCCCACCTTTGGATTTGTAATTGGAAGAGAGATGAAATGATTTGGCCGATCCTGTTTTTTCTTTCTTTTCTTTATTAGATTCTCCCCTTCGTTCTCCATTCCTGTAGTTCTCTTTCTCTTAACATTTGATTTAGGTGTACAGTTGTCTGGGTAAAAAAAGAAAAGAAGCCGTTACCCTGTGCATGTGCAGATAGAACCACATTCAGACATTGGCCAGCTTTATACTATATTTTATACTCTTAAATGATTGTTCCCCATGATGAAAGTAGCAAACCAGGTCACCCCCACACAAGGAAGGGGCATCTGCCTACTCAGGATTTCCCATGCATGCAGGAACAATGACTTTGTAAATTAACCAAAAGGCAAAAACGATTGCCTTAAGAGAACTGAATATGGTTCAAGAGCAGAGAATGTTGAGAGCAGCTGAGAACCATTTAAAGAAAATGGTGTGTGTGTGTGAGAGAGGGGGGGGAATAAGGAGAAATCAGAATGGTCAAACTCCTCAGAGCTTATAGAATGCTAGAGAAAGATCTTGGTAGATGCACTAGGATTCTCCTGAAACTTTTATAGGGGAAATAGCTTGTATGCCTTAGCAAATAACCAGTTCCAAAGGTTGGACATGTTAAATTTAATTGTCTTTTATTATACCTTATGGGGCTGCGGTGGCTCAGATGTTAAGATGCTGAGCTGCAGACCAGAAGGTCTGTAGCTTGGCAGTTTAAGATCCTAATGCTGCATGACGGAGTGAGCTCGCGTCTCTGGCCCCAGCTCCTGCCAACCTAGCAGTTCGAAAGCAAGAAATTGCGCGTAAATAAATAGGTACTGCTTTGGTGGGAAAGTAACAGCATTCCGTGCGCCTTGGCATTTAGTCATGCCAGCCACATGACCACGGAGAAGTCTTCAGACAGCACTGGCTCTTCAGCTTGGAAATGGAGATGAGCACACCCCCTAGAGTCAGATTCGACTAGCTTTCAAGCAGGGGAAAACTTTACCTTTATACCTTATACTGTATGCTATTTTTTTCACATATTCATGCAAACTCAGAAGTTAGTTGCAATTGTTCCCACACCCATCCCCATCCCCTCACACACATCCAGCCAGTTCTGCATGATATACAGAGCACTCTGCAGGGACTATGTTTCAGTCCTAAGGAATTTTAAGAAATTCATTTTGTGGGGGGAAAGATCTATTATAATATGAGGGACAACAGCGTGTGCCCTAGATTAACTTTTTAAAGAAATCCTGAGGAGCCAATGGTTGTAAACGCTAAACGAATTGTTTCTGTGACAAACAATAAGAGTACTCTTGGTCTCAACTAACGATTGGCACCAATGCCTGCCACAACCAGCCAATATTCCTCCGTTCTAGTTCTGGATAAAACCCAGTAAATTCTTATAATGCCTTCGGTGCCATGTGACACCGAAAAGTTTCCTATTTCCCCTTTTGAGAATTTTCTTAGCGAGCACCCCAAGCAATGAAACACCCAGCACTTTTATGAAAAAGTGTTCTCCAGCCTATGTTGTAGTATACATTCAGCAGCCTGCATTATGGGATTGCTATACTGATTATGACAACTGGTTGCCCAAAAGTTAAAAACTAGACATTCACAGAATTTTACAAAAACAGCTACAATCCTATATGCAAAGCATCAGGCTTTCAATCAGCTCTCATGGAGAGATTATAGTAGGCTACAACCTAATTTTGTGGAGTGAACCCAGGACTGCGTCTGCCATACCAGCAGAATGATACCCATAGATTAAATTCCTGAACTTGGAAGAAAAAGTTCTGTCATTTTTTCAGACCACACATTCATTCTCAATGGATCAGGCCTGCTTCCTTCTGAGCAAAGTTTAAACTTTACCCATGTTTATGAATATATAAAACCAAATTGCAGCTGTGTTTTCAAGTGTTCCAGTGAACACTCAGGAATTTCCCCCTAGTTAATGCATATTACCAAAATTCACAGTTATACTGTTCTTGATTTTAACTATTAACCATTACTGTCTCTCTGCCTAATATGAACACATGAAGCTGCCTTACGGTGAGTCACATCACTGGTCTGTCCATGCCAGCATTGCCTACCCTGACAGGCAGTGGCTCTTCAGAGTCTCACAGGGAGGTCCTTTCACATAACCTCGCACCCAATCTTTTTTAAACTGGAGAATGAACCTGAGACCTCGCGGACACAGAGCAAATACTGCGTCACTAAGCCATAGACCCTCTCCATTTGGGAGAGGACACTTCCCCACTTGCTTGCCCAAGTGGCTGGCTCATCCTGGCTTTATTCCTTAGGTCTACCTTTAGATTGCTCTTTAGTACAGATCTCATTTAGCTTTATTTTCTATTAGAGCTTGGCTGATTTTCTGGACTTGACATAGCAGGGTTGGCACTAAAATTTTATTTTTCATTTCCCTGACTTTCCCTAACTTCAGACCCATTTCCCAGACTTTCCCTGACCAATTTCCATTTCCCTGACTTTCCCTAACTTCAGACCCATTTCCCAGACTTTCCCTGACCAATTTCCATTTCCCTGACTTTCCCTAACTTCAGACCCATTTCCCAGACTTTCCCTGACCAATTTCCATTTCCCTGACTTTCCCTAACTTCAGACCCATTTCCCAGACTTTCCCTGACCAATTTCCATTTCCCTGACTTTCCCTAACTTCAGACCCATTTCCCAGACTTTCCCTGACCAATTTCCATTTCCCTGACTTTCCCTAACTTCAGACCCATTTCCCAGACTTTCCCTGACCAATTTCCATTTCCCTGACTTTCCCTAACTTCAGACCCATTTCCCAGACTTTCCCTGACCAATTTCCATTTCCCTGACTTTCCCTAACTTCAGACCCATTTCCCAGACTTTCCCTGACCAATTTCCATTTCCCTGACTTTCCCTAACTTCAGACCCATTTCCCAGACTTTCCCTGACCAATTTCCATTTCCCTGACTTTCCCTAACTTCAGACCCATTTCCCAGACTTTCCCTGACCAATTTCCATTTCCCTGACTTTCCCTAACTTCAGACCCATTTCCCAGACTTTCCCTGACCAATTTCCATTTCCCTGACTTTCCCTAACTTCAGACCCATTTCCCAGACTTTCCCTGACCAATTTCCATTTCCCTGACTTTCCCTAACTTCAGACCCATTTCCCAGACTTTCCCTGACCAATTTCCATTTCCCTGACTTTCCCTAACTTCAGACCCATTTCCCAGACTTTCCCTGACCAATTTCCATTTCCCTGACTTTCCCTAACTTCAGACCCATTTCCCAGACTTTCCCTGACCAATTTCCATTTCCCTGACTTTCCCTAACTTCAGACCCATTTCCCAGACTTTCCCTGACCAATTTCCATTTCCCTGACTTTCCCTAACTTCAGACCCATTTCCCAGACTTTCCCTGACCAATTTCCATTTCCCTGACTTTCCAGAAAGTGGCAACCCTGCACAGATTGGTGGTAACTTGGCATGTTCTTCTAATTGTGTCAAATGTTATTAAAATGATTTATGAATTACATATCTAGCAGAGTTTCAACAAATTGTATGGGGGACTTCCAATACACACACTCTTTACCCTTAGGCTCCACTATCAAATCTCTGGATTCAGCTCATTATTTTAGATGCAACTCTGGATGACTTCTTGTGGAAGGACCAAGTGAATACTGTATACCGAGTTCCATAAGAAATTTATTTGCATGTAGACTTTAATTGGTGTACACCGTTTGAATAAGAAAACCACCACCATAAAATCCAAGGTTTATACCTAGAATGTCAAAAGGACTAAGTAGGCCAGTGAAGTAAATGTTACTACAACATTCTGTAGTACCAAACATGTATAAGGTACTGGGTAGAACTACAGTAGGTATAGATTTTAAAAAGTAGTAACAAGCAAATAATCTATAGTTCAACCAGTAGCTTCTGAGTTTAAACTGGAATAGAGTATTTATTTATTTATTTTTGTTATAGAATAAAACATTTGGCCTGTGCTGGGTCAGCCGGTCACCACGGATACCATGCACTGGAAACTGGATACACAGTCCGAAATCAAGTTGAGCAACAGAGCCGAAGGTCAGAAAGCTGGGAAATCAGTCAAAGGTTGCAGGAGCTAGGAGCAAGGAGCGGAGGCTAACAGCCTGGATCAGGTCCGAACCCGCATGGTTGCTTCCGCGCTGAGGCAGGTGTGTGGGGGTGTTTATGACCAGGTCCTCCCTTCCCTGGGAGTCAATCTGCCAAGACTCACAGCCCTTCACGTTGCCTTTGCAAGAGCTGCAGTCTGGCACTCTTCCTTCACTCTCGCACATTCAGTGGCTGGCATGCCCTGCGTCTGGGACATTCAGGAGAACTAGGTGGGGATTCTAGCCTCGGGGTGTCTCCACCTGGGGGTGCTGGGCCAGGCTCTGGATCAGTCTCTCCCTCTGGCTGCACCTCCTGTGCAGCTGCTGAGGCCTCTTCTCCCTCAGGTGCCGTTAAGGGTTCCTCTTCTGGGCTGACTCCAGAGGCTGCTGGGTTGCTCCATGCCTCTTCCTCGTCTGAGGAGAAGTCAGCCTCAGCAGAGCCAGTACCCATGACATGGCCATTTTGGAGAGGCTGGGTTCAGAACTACAAAATCTGCATTTGGAACTGGAAGCAGACAAGTTCTGTCTCAAACAGAACTTGCTTATTTACTTCTCTACTGGAATCCAAACCAGAGGGAACTTCACAGCTCTAGACTGAGATTTACACTTACCGCCAAATTCAGTCTCAATATCTGCTTTGGCAAATGGCATTTCCATCATCAAACAGCGCATGGAATCGTCAAGACTGCACAACTCCTTTTTTTGTTTCTTCCTTTGCTTTTTCTTCCGCTCCACCCTATGCCATCCATCTGGAATACATTTAGAACAATGAATTGGGTCTTAGATTTCAGGGCTGATGAAATCATCACCAATAAAACGCCGTTCCAGACTCACAGCTCGCCTACAAGGCAATTCTTCAAGCACAACAGCAGAAAGTTGCACAAAGCAATTGTTTGTTCCTCTGTGTTGCAGTTTTACATTGTATTTTTAGCTTTCAATGTATTTCATTCAACAGCCACTTCACTGTGCCTTAGTTTCCCATCTGAAATACTGGAATACTGCGGACCTCACCATTTTACAGGGGATCTTGTTTCTGGAGCTGAGAGAAATGCAGTCTATGCTCTGATTTTCAAAGGTCTGCACCAGTGCAACCTCCACCCCAACTGCTCTATGCTCATGAAGAACTAACTTAGAAGGCCAAATGAAGACAGGTTTCTTGAATTTATTTGAGAGTCCTCTGAGTACTGTGACTGTAATTAGAACTAACTTCTTTAAAAATCCAGTCAGTTATTGGATAATTTCTAAACTGTAACATTTAGAAGAGAACTGGACTGCTGAAATATTCCACAGGTAAAACCTCACTAGATTAACAAACCTTAAGCTGTTCTGAAGCTTTTCAGCAAACTGTAAAAGAAAGTCATTGGTCAAAAGGGGGCAATCCTAAGCAGGTCTGCTCAGAAAAGTCCCCCGAGGATCACAGCCAAAACAACTGTAGCTTGGTTTTTAGCATATTTGCCAGAATTGTTTGGTTCAGAAGGTCTATTCCAGTATAGTTGTGAAGAACTTCCTTTTTACACTGAGAAATATGAAGGGTTTTTTTTTAATGGCAGTTATTTTAATATCATTAAAGAATAGGCTTTTTTAAAAAAATCCTGAAAATTGACAGCTACTGAAGTATTTGCAACTGTTGTATTTTCTCAAGGAAGGCTTCATCAATCAGTGACTTGGCACAAATTGGTATTTAGCGTTTTTTTCCTTAGTAAGCATTTTTAAAAATCAGATTTATTTCCTGCTTTCATGTTCTGTATTCATAGCAGGAAATCCAAGTGAGAATAAAAGGATCAGTGCTGCTAACTATCTGTAGAAATAATTTTCCTTCAGCTTTATGAATTCATTTAAGAATTAATTACATATTAGAATTATCTGCCATTTTATTCTGAATGCCTACAATGAATTGTACACTTTTTTTAAAAAAAAGAAAAAAAATACCCTTTGGTATATTTCAAAAGCATATTATTGTTAACATAAGCCACCAACTACAATCTCATGGAAAAAAGCTCAAGACAATTACATTTGTGTACCTGAAGAAGGCTCATACCAGACTTTCAGTGTATAAGAAAATGCCTCATTATTACTGAATAACAGTTTTTAAGATCTCTACTGGCAAGTAAAGATATTCCAAGGGGCAGGGGAATTATGCAAAGAAACCACTGACAATAAATGCGGTGCAAAAACACTTTATCCAGATTGTAAGTGCTTCTATAATGTTTCTTGGAGAACTCGATTGTAGTGTTAAGGGAGATAAGTAAGTCACCTGATTAAGTGCCAATTGGCAAGGGAACAACAACAAGGTAGTTGTCATTTGATCCTGGGGACTGTGCAGAAACTATTACATTTGAGTGATTAAAAAGAAATGTGGGATTTAAGTATGTTATTTTCAGTGTGCATTACACTAAAGCCAGGCTCCCTGATCCTGCTGTTCATGAGGTAGTGGGGGCAGTGTGTCTGCAGAACCACTATACTGCACATACAAGCCTCATGGGATTCTTTAGCAAACACAAGGGGGGGGGGACAGATCTACTGGTCTGCCCTTGGCGTTAGAAAGCCTGCACAGAATTCTACTTATGGGACTTGCACATGCAGAGACAATCCTAATGCCAACAAAGCAAAGATAACTAGTCTTAAATGTGGACCATTCATATCTGAATATCCCCAGAATGGGAACAGCATCAGGCATAACTTTCTATTTCCACAAGTGCAAAATAGCTGTGCAACACCCTCCCCCGTTTTTTGCACTTAGAAGCATCTCTGAGAACCACTTAACATGTTACAGTTTTTAAGTGTACTCCTAATCCTTTTTAAATGTACACATAAAAATGTACACATGCAAACATATTTTCAAATACACGTCACATAGGTACACTCGCTGAAGAGCCACTTCTGTCTGTTGAGCGTACCCTCACTGTCAAACCCGGGCTGGTTCAGCATAATGTGTGAAATTGCTGGGAGTCAGGAACAAAAGGCAATTGTTGAGTGACCACCCTGTGATTTATGTCCAAGGTGTATCTCAGGATTTTTAAAAACTATTTATAAACTGATGACAAAATAGTCCTTTTCCCTGATGGAGAGAAGGTAAAATACCCTGCTTGCACCACAAAATAAATGTAACATGAACACTTTAATCAACATCCAAAGAACCAGGCAAATACTGAACATAATGGTTTGCAGTAACAAGTGAAGCAGGGATTATCTCAAGGGAAATTATCCAGCGGATGAGATAAACAAGTGAGTCACAATGTTGGGCTCAGCTGCAGGTTACAAAATCCATGTGCAATGTTTTGTAGATCAGAAAAAGCAACTTCAGTATGTAATTTCTGTTGTTATTCACTGGCTTATAATTTGAAGCTATTTATTCAGATTCATTCCATTATGGTTTGGGTACATTAAGGGTATAACTCAATGTACTATTCCTAGTAGAAAGCCACAAGGAACTCAGTGGAAATTATTTCTGCATAAACATGCATCGAATTAATTTGCACTTCTAAAAATTTCTTCCCAGGTATGTACCTTTCCTTCACTCTTCTCAAATTAAGGATATGTTTTGAGTTGGACTGTGTGGAAACTAGGCAATATTTTGTGTTATGTGTGCTCAGGGACATCAAGTTGCTCCTGATTTATGGCGACCCTATGAATTAATGACCTCCAAAAAATCCCATTGTTAACAGCCTTTCTCAGGTCTTGCAAACTGAGGGTCTTGGCTTCCTTGATGGAGTCAATCCATTTCATGTTGGGTCTTCCTCTTTTCCTGCTGCCTTCAAATTCTCCTAGTATTATTGTCTTTTCTAGTGACTCTTGTCATTTCATAATCTGACCGAAGTACTGAGTATCCTCAGTCTGATCATTTTAGCTTCTAGGAAGAGTTCAGGCTTGATCGGATTTAGAACCCACCGATTTGTCTTTTGGGCAGTCTATGTTATCTGTAAAACTCTCCTCCAACATCACATTTCAAAGGAATCAACTTTCTTTCCGCCAGCTTTCGTCACTATCCAACTTTCACACCTGTACATAGTAATGGGGAATACTATAGTATGAACTACCTTGACCTTGATTGATATATATGCTGATCTTAAACATATTGAATTGACCTTGATTGTTAGCAACACTTCCTTACACTTAAGGATCTTTTCTAGCACCTTCATGGCTGCCCTTCCCATCCAGCCTCGTAGCCAGAAATCTTTGGCTGGTGGGACAGGGAAAAGGGCGCTGGGGCAGGGGAGTGGGGAACTTAATTAGATTACTAATGGTGGGGGTAGCAAAGGAAAGTGAGAGAGAAGGTGGGGAGACTGGGGAAGGAAAGGGAACCCCCCCCCTTTCTGGTTAGTTTCACTCCCCTCAGATCAGCTGTTAAACCTAACAGTTGATCTAAGGGGAGTGAAACTGACCAGAAGCAGCAGGGCAGCTTCTCTTTCCTTCCCCAGCCTCGCTGTGGCTGCAGGGGGGAGGCACAACGGGGGTGGGAGGGTTTGAGGGGTCTGGCATCCTCCCAGGGTAGGGCAGGGCTTGTCCATGGTGGGGCTCCGCCCCCAAATGCCCCGCCGTGGCTACAGGCCTGTTCTCATCTCAATTGCCTTCTGATTTCTTAGATGCAGTCTCCCTTTTGGTTGATGATGGAGCCAAGGAACAGAAAATCTATACTATAAGGTTATGTTTTTAGCACTATCAGTGCTATTTAACATTAACAAAATATAAGCAATTCACCAAGGATTGTATTTATATATCTTTATAGAATTCTAGGCATCAAATATTTTCAATGGAAGCATGATTTATTCCTAAAAACACTTGAGTGCCATGCAGAAATGTGTGCTGGCTTTGCCAGCAAGCTCAGCTGTCATATAATATTGTGTAGTACATCCAATGGACTCTGCGAGAAAGAACCAGAGCAGTGGACTCCATGACTACAATTACACCAACATCACAAACTTTAGTACTGTACCCTTGTACACTACCACAGTAAGATTCGACTTAATAGTAGCTTCAGCAGTAAACTCCTTCTGCATTTCCTTTTGTACTGTCTGCATTTCCTTTTGTCCATCTGAAATCTGCATTTCCTTTTGTCTGTCTGCATTTCCTTTTGTCCATCTGAAATCTAACTGAGCATTGATGTATGTCATGTGGGTAAATATGGCTACACCAAAATAATCAGGACTGATTTACCTTCCACTGTGCTGCATTGCAAGCCTCTCTCCTTCCCAGCCAATCATCAACCTACCTTTATTTCCCCCTCCCTCTTCAGCTTTCCACCCCCCACACACCTGCAGCCTCTCCCATGCTCTGAAGCCCTGACTGCTATGTCACATTGGCTGTCATACAGGGGCCACCTCAGCAGCATATAAGGATACAGAGCCCACCATTTTCTCCAGGGGAACTGATCTCTGCCATCTGGAAAGCAGTTGCAATTCTGAGTGATCTCCAGCCCTCACATGGAGATTGGACACATTTTACCTCAGAACAGCAAAACTGGTTAGAATGTTAGAGGCAAAAGCCAATCAAGTCGCATATGCAAACGACCTCTGTGTTCCGAGGCAGAGGCCAATGAGGCTGCATATGCAAATAACCTCTGTATTCTGACTGGCTATGGGGGGGGGGGGGGAAGAGCAAAATGTTTAGAATGTTGGAGGCAGGACTCAGGCAAAACAGCCAGTGGATAGGGAGACCCTCTGAATGACAGATCAGAGAGCGAACTGATTTTGGAGCGTGTGGAATGTTCTAGAGAAGTGCCACCACCATTCGGCTTTTATTTATAAGGGAGATGCCATGGTGCCACTCCAAATCAGATTCCTGTGTGATTGAGAACTGAGTTACTTGCCACAATAAATTTGTTAGTCTTCAAGGTTCCACCTGAGACTTTGCTATGGCACCTCACTGAGTTGTTGTGAGGATAAAATGAGGAAAACCAGGTTTTGTTACCTTCAGCTCCTGGGAGAAGTAAGTGGGATAAATGCATTACATGAATATAAACAGTTTGGCTATGCATTGTTCTTTTTTTGTTTGTTTTGGTATTTTTTTTATATGTGCACTTGTGAGTGTATGTGTGCACCAGGAAATCATGGCAACCTCTGGTGACCAATCCCTACTGGGGGCCTGGAGAATATTCAGAGAGGTGACTGAATAAAGCCTGCCCCTCCGTCCTGCCTCTGGTATTTCAAGGAGGTCTCCCATGCAAGTACTTGCCAGCTTAGCTTCCGAGATCTGACGAGATCCGGCATGCCTGGGCTATCCAGGTCAAGGCGGCTATGGATTGTTATGCATGGCAGGAACCACCACTAAAGGAGATGGAAGAGAAATGCTTATCCTCAAGAGAAAATTTGTATCCCATCCAACTACTTTTCATAATAAAGTTCAGCACAGCTGAGACTTCTCCTCCCTCCCTCGCGGCCACCGGACGCTCCTCCCCATTTCCGGCGTAGGAGACAATGATGACCGTCAGAGTTTTTGCCTTCTGCTCACCGGTCTGTTGCTGTAACTGGCTGGTCTCGGAAGAAAGTCCTCCGCTTCCTCCAGATTCTTCTTCGGCTGCCGCTGCCTCCTCTTCCAACCTCTGGGACTCCATCTCGCGGTTAGCGCACTCTTGCATTGCCATGGGGGCCCTAACACCGCTCAGTCCGCCGCCGCTAAAGAGCGAAGGGCGATCCTGGGAGTAGGTGCCGCAGCTCTGCCGGTGAGGAGACGGAGAGTTCGGAGGAACCGGAGCACCATGGCCCGGCGACCTCTGTCACTGGGGCAGTGCCTCTGTACCCAAGTCAGAAGTCGGAGGCTACGGGAAGGCAGAGGGGTCAAAGACAACACCCGAACAGTCGACCGAGAGATAACGCTTGCCTTGAGTAAGCACGGTGGGGAAACTACGAGTCCCAGAATGCCACGCGCTCAATGAGGGCCACTGGTGATAAACATTGGAGCGGGGAGACTCGTTGATCCCTAAGCTGCGGTGTTACTCCGAACGACATGAATTTGGTCGTAAATCCAGTTCAATGCGACTGGAGAATCGACGCGCGCAAGTTGTGGGTGCCTTGCGCCCCCAAGTTTTAGGCGACGCTGGCTACGAAAGGCCAGAATCACTCGTTTTGTTAACCCGTTAACGCCGTTTGCATCTGCAGGCCTGATTGGCGTAGGCTCCTCTGGGAAAACAAGCAGAGGCGCAGTTATCCTGCCTAAAAACACCGAGCCTTTGGCATCGCGATGGGGAGCCGAGCTGGTAGTTTTCTTTCTGTAAATGTCTTAAGGATTCCTACTTTAGATGCTGGGCAATAGTTTTTAAATGTATTCTATTTATATCCCGTATTTCTTCCATAATTCATCCAAATGTACCTGGGGTGGTTTCCAACCTTATTTGGAACCCACTAAAGGCACCATACAAGTCTCTACAGCTGTCACATTTGTAGTAGCAAACACAAAGGGTGAAGAACAGACATGTCCCTCCCTAAAGACTGCGAGATGTGCTTCAGGGAGTTCTAGCCCAGGGAGCAAACCTGTGTCTGAACTGTACCGCTTCACACTGCAGGTGTCACTGAATGCAATTCCATCCCAAAAGAGAATCCATGTGTAAATAACACCTTTGTCCTTGGCTCCTAGTTTTCTATATGGTTGGAATAACTTGTATGACTGAGCATTAGCTGAAAAAATACATTTAGGCTAGTCTTAAGAACATGCCTGGTTGTAAGCAAGATAAGACAAAAGTACAGTCACACCTTAAAGACTAACAGACTAATATTAAAGACTAATTTGAGTTTGTGAGCTATTGAAATAAACGTTAGTCTTTAAAGTGCCATTGGACTTTCGTTTTATTTCGCTCTAATAGACTACCACTGTTGCCCCTTTGCAATCATACTGGGAGTAAGCCCCACTGAATAAAAGGCAAAAGTACAGTCGCATCTTAAAGACTAACAGCTATTTCAATATGAGCTTGTGAGCTATTGAAATAAATGTTGTTAGTCTTTAAAGTTCCATTGGACTTTCGTTTTATTTTGCTCTAATAGACTATCACTGCTGCCCCTTTGCAAATACTGGGAGTAAGCCCCACTGAATAAAATGAGGAGTGTTTGTTCCCCAGCATCTACTGTACTTCTGTAGCAGTAGTTGTCATAGCCACTGATTTCCCCAGAATTTGTATGGTCTTATAAAAACATAATAATTTGGATCTGCACAACGTTCTCTCCCTGTTCTTCAGAAACTAATTACAAAGAAACTTAAATGGCTTGGCTTTGGCAAGCAGTCTTTAAATAAAGTTCTTTCATGATTGGTTTTCAAAGAAAAACCAAGACTGGTAGCAACCCTCCTCCCTGCGAAACGAAGGCTTGGGGTGGGAAGCAAAGAAAACCTCCATGTTCGCATTTTTTGTTAAGGCAGCTGGGAGTTCCTTTTTTGCCAGAAGTATGTTTCGAGTCCTGCATTAAAAAAATAAAGCTACCCAGGTAATATTTGCATTAAGATGAACAATTCAAATGCTATTATATCTTTCTCTCCACCCCAGGACCAGCTTTGGGGGTTCTCCGATCCATTGTGGTTCTGTTATGAGCTCTTTGTGGAATGTAGATGCCTTTGTATTGTTCCATCTTGTTGGCTGCCCTAAGCCTGGGGGGATAGATTAAGGAAGGCAACAGCAAGTGTGCCAGTGACATGCCAGACCATTTTGCTCAGCCCATAGGGCCAGTGCTCTACCCAGAGGACCAAGGCAAGCCCCTGCAGCTCCAAGAGATAAAATCCTTGAGCGCTGGGCAGCTTCTGTACCCATCCTTTCTCATTCTCTTTCTTTGTAACTTTCTGCTACCTACCTGTTCCATGCCTACCATCTTAGTCTTTAATATTCTAGCATATGTGAAAGCCCATACAGTTCAGTCAAGAAATTCAACATATTTGCATAATTACTTATCAATGCAGAATGTGAGTGAACTCAGATAGTGGGAGGAATGTGGAAAACAACCCTGTATTTCCCTCTGGGCCTAGTGTGTAGGATAAAGCAGCATTCAGTGGTCAGTTACTAAAAAAGAAGGTATTTAGTGCTCAGATTTGCTTTTTAGATATCCCATCTGACCTGGATGGCCTGTTCACGGAACCCAGCAGTATAAAAGCTCCAAGTTGAAGGGAAATTTATCTTGACACATGCTCAGAGGCACCTTCATCTTTATTATTATTTCTTAGGTTACAAGCCTGGGCAGAGTTCTATGTCTGAAGCAAGGCTGAGCCTATATGAACCTTGGCTCAGATTAATCCCTGGTAGTAATTCTTTCTCAGAGATCCTGTCTATGGCAAATTACTTCCAGACATTGTAAGAAAATGGCTTGGCCACATCTGGCAAGCAAATTCCACAGGACATCAGAATTACAAAGAAACACTGGTCTAGCCTGAATACCTAAGGAACATTTCTTTCCATTCCCTATAAGTGACTGGTGATGTGGAATTTCTGTTAAAGAACATTTACTGCATAATGTTAGGTTATTCAGCTTGCAACCATCGTGTGGGCAAGTTTTACCCTCATTCTCCTAACGGTACTAAAACTGCAGCTAGTCACCATGCCAGAAATCTAAGGAAGGAGTTAATAAGGCATTGGAAAGGGAAAATACTTCATATGGAACCAATTACAAGGGTTTTTTGGTGTGTGTGTGTGTGTTTTTTTTTACAAGGGATGTTCCCTCCAGAGGAAGAAAACTGGCTGATAGAAGAGCTCTCTTTCTGGAAAATCAGAAACACAAATCTCAAGTATCTTGCTGTAACTGGAATAGTTTTGAGACTTAAGGGAATGGATCAGTTAGACAAGGTTACTAAGTTCAGTAAAAGCTAGTTTTGGACAGGGAGGTGGTAAATACCTGCTTTTACTAGTATTCCAACTAAGAAAATTGTAAAAAAAATGAATAGATCTCAGAACTGTAGCTGCAGTGCGTCAGTGCCCCTTACAGTCTTTTAGTATAAAATTAATATTTTCAAGTTTTGGGAAAGCCATTTAAAACTGAGAAATACGTTTGTTCTGGGTTTCTTCAGAACTGGTATTCTGTTACAGAATGCTGTGGAAGCCTTTGGACTTGGATGGGTAGTCTGCTTCTGTTCATGCTATGCTTGAAGCATCTAAAGTCTAAACTAAGCAGGGCAGTGTCAGATCTGTATGTTGAGACCAAAACCCACCCCAGTAATACACCCCAGTAATGTGTGTGTGAGAGAGAGAAAGAGAGCTTGTGTCCTGTCATTCTGCTCAGAGTTAGGAGCCATCCTCGGTTGGAGGAAAAGCCACTTCTGTTGTAGAAAGGCTCCTGAGTCTGCAGGAAGGCTTCCAGCATTGCTGAGTGGAGTGGTAGGGTATAAGCCAGTGATTTTCAAGACCAAAGATTATAGAAGAGCTGAACATCTTCTTCTGCATCTTTCAGCCTGTCACACCAGGTACATCACTCCTACCTGGACTCTCTTGTGATTTTGAATCCTGCCCAGGGGGAAAGACAGTTCTCAAGAAATGGACTGTCATGTAGAGGGAGGGAGGTTAGCACATTTCATACCTTTTTTGCTATTTAAATGGGACACCATTTACATGCTTAGGGCACCTCGATTCAAATACATAGATACCCATCTCATCTGTCTGCATTTTTTATTTTACTGGGAGGAAAAGACAGAAATATTAAAACCCAAGTCTATGGACATGAAAATTATTTATACTTCTCATTTGTGTGCATATTCTAAAACAGGGAAAGTCAGAAATGATGAGGGAAAACATTCCCCAAAGATACTGTTCAGCATAACTCGACACAGGGCAGAGCTTCAGTTGCACCACATATTGGCCCTGAAGCCTATTTTTAGTGCTTGGACCATGTGAAGAAATAATAAGGTTGTGATTGCTTTGACCACATCTGGATTACGTTCTCTTCCACTCAGTAACCTCAGCCAAGCCACACCTATAAGGGTGGGCTAGAGCAAGATGGGATAATTGCAGGCAGGTTTCAGTCTGCATGGAACTGTTATATGTAAAGTCACTCTACTGTTCATGCTCTGCTTTTCAGACACATCATGCACCCTTGCAAATCATGTGCTTGCAGGCTTCTTTGGATATGTAATGCACAAACTGTGTCCTTAATGGATTCACAGCAAACATTTTGCGTGCAGATGCAGACATGAGAGCAACTCGTGCGAATTGGTATTACAACTCTGTACAGAGGGACCTAGTTTTCATGAACTGCTTTGGCTGATCACAAAGGGAGTCAACTTATATTACTGTGACAGGCTCTGTGTTACATAACAGCACAGGGGAAAGTGCTAAAAAAATCACTGACTGAGGGAGAGTCACACAAAGCTAAAAAATAGTTTAGAAAAATGAGGCCTAGTGAATATGAGAAGCTTGATATAGAAAATAAATCTTTTAATTTTAATTTTAGGTAACATAGTGCATGCATGTATATGCAAAGTATATATAGAGGCTCCTTACAAAAGCGTTCTGTTACCCTTTTTGATATCTCTTGACACTCACAAAAAACAAACAAACCAGCTATGCCCTTCTGATTCCATTGAAGTGAACTTAGACAGGTGTGACTCTGTTTATTCATGTATTATTTTTATCCTGCCCTTCCTCCAAGGAACTCAGGGTCGTATACATCAATCTTCCCTCCTCCACTTTACCCTCATAACCACCCTGTGAAGTAGGTTAGGCTGAGAGAGTGTTGCTCAGTGTTGCTCATCCTTGGTCACCCTGCAAGCTTCATGGTAGAGTGAGGAGTCAAACCTGATCTTTTTGTACAATACTTTAAGACTTAAGATAAATTTAGAATTACAATCTGGATAGCATAAGGAACAAAGTTAGATTGCTACCTGAGATGTGAATGCAAAAGACTGGTTAAAGTTCATTACAATATAATTAATCTTGAGCTGTTTATCTTAAATGGGT